TTTGACTCAAAAGCCATTTGAAGTAACGAAGTCAATGAAAGAAAATTTATGTTAGGCCTAAGGCCGAAAGAAATTTTACATCATTTCGAAGGGGTTTATTCGAAAATGCTTGGGGGGTTGAGGGTACAAAACTTTTGGGAAAATAAGGCGGGGGGAAATGAAGGGGAAGACAATTTTTCGACATACAGGGGGGTACCCCTGCCTTTGGGGGGGGGGGCCCCCCCCCCCCAAGTTTTTTTTTTTAACCCGTTTTTTTTTTTTTGTATTTATGTATTAGTTAAAGCACTTTCGCCCCCCCCCCCCCCCAAACTTTTAATTTTGTACACTTTAGTCCTCAAAAACAAAAAAAAAAAATTCTCTCTTAAATTACCGCTATATTTCAGCCCCCCAAAAAAACCCCCCTGGGTCCGCCCCTGACGACATATGTGGCACAAACTCAGTGAAAGCGGATATAAAAAATGGCATCGAACAAACTTAGTATGTTTGTGCACCCTGATTCGATCAACCTTTTGCATTTATTTACGTACGTTATACTAATGAATTGCACTTACAAAACAAATATGTAATATTTATTTAAATATTAATTTTTATATTATTTCATAGTCGATAAAATGATATTTACGTTTGACGTAGGTATCTAATGCCTCTATTGTAAATAATTGGGGTTATTTCGGTGGGAAGGAACTTCACCATTGTGTTTTTTTTTTTTTTTTTTCTGTCACGTGAAAATGAGGACACACTTTCATAGGCTATCATAGGCTGTAAGATGGCTAAGAGATATTTTTCACTCGGAGTAGAACCTGTAGTGATTCTACTCAAAGCATTGTCTAAGGTGTTTCCACAATCTATTGCTATTAATTAAATTTCCACATTTTGCATCATAAACGAGTTTCTTGAGTTTGTTGGATCCAACTTGTAACGGTACAGGGCGACAAGCTTTTGTGTCGAATAAGCCTCGACCTTCAATTCGTCTTCAATATTTACAAAATATTCGCCATCGTCTATCAAATATCGGATGAAAACACAAAATGCGAAACAATTACAGACTTAACAATGAATGAATCCAAAAGACACTTAAAACAAGAGAGAATATGATACATACAACACAAGGATACAATACAAGTACAGTTTATCGCGGCATTAACTCCATAAACGCCCTCCACTCTTGTATATTACCCTTTTTTTCCTGATCCAATCTGACCGGAAGATCGATTTTCTGAATAATTTCAAGAATTTCTTCGGTCTCGCCGAAAAGAAGAGCCGCTTGTCGGACACTCTCCTCCCTTTCTTCAATGGCATTGTTATGACACTTGGAGATTATCACAGACACTAAATTGGTGAGACAAGCCGCCACTATGTCTGCGATCATTATCGATAAACTCTCGAACAACTCCTCGTCCGTTAGGCTAACGTCGTATTTGCGCGCCAGCAGAAGTGTTTGAGTTACTCGGTACATCGAGCGTGCAGCTATGACTTTCACAGGCCAGTTGTTGATCAGAGAATCTTTCTTTTCTGTTACAGTTATTTCATCCGTACTACTAAAAAAATCTCCAACAATCTTTTCGGCAATGTCCGAAAGATTCTGCAGCGTCGCCTTGTCGGAACTACCTCTGACACTAGCACCCGAAAGATCCTTACCATGCCATTTCTTCGAAAATTCAACTCCAACCCACGCCATGTCTGCCGCATGGCGTACGGCTGTCGTCGAATCTCCGTTTTTATCCGAAGATTTCTCTATGAGCTTCACGTAGTAGAGGGCTTTGCTCACAGCACTCAATAAATTATTACACTTGCGATCGGAGATGTTGGGAAGCGAAATTGCAATGCTTGTTAATGTCACGACTGGCATAGACCAGCAGTTTGCGGGTTCTTGATATAAGATTGGAACTTCAACCGTGTCGAATTCTCTGACACCGTTGAAGTTGACACATTTCTTTACAAGTTTGACTAGGTTTTTCGATTGATTCTTTCGACCGATCTTCATCAGCTTATCGACCTCATTGCATATATTTTTCAGTGTCCCCTGAGGCAGCTCTGGCTCTCCCTCAAGCAGCAGCACGTAACGGCTATAATCCGACTGATCCGGTTCAGCCATTGATTCCACTCCTCTCGTGTAATCCGATTCCTCGGAAATATGGCAGCACGACTTTTTTAGACTAGTACTATTAATGTGGCCGAAGCAAAAGAAAAACGAAAGTCCCTTCACAAAGACAGACGAAGCGAGCAGGACTAATTTGCTGGCAACAACAATCAAAATCTGAACTCCGATGCACAAGTTGAGAAGCAATCCTTTCGCATTGTAAACAAGTTTTCTGAGCGTATGTGATCGAATATGTACAGAGACGGGGCTCTTTTTCCAATCTACGAGCTTTTGAGTCCAGTAGCTCTCGACTTTCATTTCTTCTTTGAAACTCTTGGTGCCGATATCGGAACTCTTGAATCGGGCGGCAACGAACCATCTCATGAGTGGAGCAATAGTACCTATCGCGACTCCGATAGACTGAACAACGAGAATCACTTTGGTGGACCACTTGTAGTTAGACGTGGTCGTATATTTCGCAGCATACATCATAGGTAATCGAACATGAGCTTCTACGAGAACTAGACCGGTCAATAGACATATTAATCCCGAAGCGACGCACGTCGCGGACCGCGCGATCACAAATTGCGAGCTCCCGGTTTCTGCCATCACCCAATACCTCCTCACGGCTATCCGGAGTTCGTCGACGCTTGTAAATCCCTCCCACTCCACTCTCTGCGTATTCTTGATCGATATTCTGTTGTGGAGGTCGCGGTACGCGAGGTCGATCTGCGCCTTGGCGGCGGGGACCATGACGCCGGAAACACATAGTATCAGTAGCAACATAAGCACGGCAGCACTCGATCCGGCTACTTCGGCCACCGTATCGAAGAAGCTCAAAAACGAGAACATCTGGACAGCGCTAATGACGACGTTTCCGATGATTGTGAGGACGAGAATCGATAATGCGGCTAAGTTGAGCGCGATGTCGTTGTTCGTCATTGAGCCGAGAGATGTGGTGAAGTTAGAGAGAGACGTTGACATGAGTACGAGGCTGTTGATGCGCACGATTTTGTCGTCGACGCCTAGGTGGAGGTTTGTGAGGTCCACGAGCAGCTTCATCGAGACGCCGAGCAGTGTGAGCGAGAAAGCGTTGAGAGAGAAGTACTTACAGGGGAGCCAGGGCTTCCTGCGGCGGAACCCTAGCACGGCGTCGGCGGCGATTGCTAGAGTGCAGACGGCGGAAGCGGCTGCGATGTAGAGGCCTATCCATGGCATCGGTGCTTCGAGCTCTTCTTGCACCGCGTCGCCGTAATCCAGGTTTCGGAAGTCCTGGCAGATGCCCAGGCACTCGGTCCTTGTGTATAATTGGCCGCCGCAGATTGATGTAGCCATGGTCTCTCTCTCTCTCTCTCTCTCTCTCTCTCTCTCTCTCTCTCTCTCTCTCTATCTCTACTCTACCTCTCTCTCTCTACTAATTTTAGGCAAGATTAATCAGTAATATAGATAGATCCGTGGCTAATTAAGTCAGTAGGTGAAGATTTTATTCCCCCACCCTTTGTTGAAATTAGTCAAATATTGTTTACTTCCCCACGCGCCTCCGCCAAGGACCAACCCCGGCCGCCGGGTTGAAGAATTGCGGTTGCAGACAGAGCTCTTGGAGCAGAAGCTGATGCGGAAACCGACCGGTCAAAGAAGACGGTTTTAATTTTATCAAAATATTTAAAAGAAAGAATAAACAAATAAATGAAAATCGTTGCTCTTATATATTTGGTATTTAATGATATGTTTAATTTGTTTTTTATAAAATCGTTACTCTTATCCACTAGTATGGGGCAATTGTATTTTATTTATTTATTAATATTTAGGTCAAATAAATGACAATCGTTACTCTTGTCCACTGATATGTGTATAAAATTCAATTATATATTTATTTGGTCGAAAATTGAAATTTGAAATTGCTTATGTTAGGTTTGATAATTTTTTTGGACTTATATATTTTAAGGTTTATTTGAGATAGCCCCTCACCAACTTATTTAATGAGTGATTGGCCCAAGACTTTTGATATTTTTTACATAAACCTTTGAAATTTTTGACATAAACTCATTAATTTCAAGTTTAATATGATATAAACCCTAATACATTATAATTTATAACCATTTTACCCCTTTCAAACTCTAACTAGGGCTTTTTTTATCTTATTTATTTGGGACAATATGCTATGAGTCCTTTAACGAAACTTAATTTAAATTAAATGACAAGTCCAAATTCATTTTTTTAATTAAATCCTTAGTTTGAAATAACATATAAGTCACATCCCTAATGTTTTTATATTCCTATCTTGCCATTATATCCTAAATTTTTTAACCTACATATTCACGTTTCTCCAAGTCGGATTTATTTTGTTACTCTCTCTCTCTCTCTCCACCTTTTGTCTCTCGTTTTTTTCTCTCTCTATATCTCTCTCTTGCTTTCTTCAGTAGTAGCACGAGGTAAGGGGTTGTGGTGCACTAGGCGACAAGGGGTGTGGAGGTCGAGGCAGCAGCGGGATATGGTTATGAGATATGGTTATGAGATCTGGTTATGGTTGAGATTTGATTGAAAGTATATTATTTACTAATTGCATCTGATTTTGTTGATCGTTAAGAGATTTTGCTTGATTTGGTTAAAATGGTAAATCTAGGTTTCCTCAAAGATTGGTAGGTGACTACGGTTGCCACGGCTGCAAATGTTGGTTGCTAGGGTTTGGCGGCTGCTGGGTTGACTGCTAGGATTAACGAGATTTGATGTTGTTGGTTGCTAGGGTTTTGTAGTACACCGTAGTATACCATAGTCTACTACAGTTTTGACAAAAAAAAATTAAATTAAAAAAAAAAATTGTAGGTCGAATTAATAAAAACGAAAAACGCGTTGTTTTTGTAATTTTCAATATTATGTAAAAAAAATATTTAATAACAGTTTAATCTATAATACAACATATTCTACTATAATATACTATAGTACACCATAATATTTTTCAAAATCTGTTGTATTATTTAAAAAAAAAAGGAATTTTTTTTTTAATTTTCAAATAAAAAATAAGGAAAAGATATGTTGTTTATAATAATGTCAAAAATGCTAAAGTGAAAAACAAAAAATAAAGATGAGTGGAAGGGTATTTTTTGAATGAATTTAATAAAGGAAGTGAAGCAAATATGTAATTGAGGTTGTCATTTAATTCTATTTAGTTTTGTTACGAGGGACCTATATCTTAAGACCCTATTTATTTGATTATTATTATTTTTATTTATTTATTATTAAAAAAAATTAAACTTACATTTTTTTTTCCGGCAGTGCCCTCGATGGCTGGAGCTCCGGTTAGGTGACTCAGATCATCTCCGACCGGTCTCACCATTCTTTCACCAAATCCCATTTATGGTGGTGAAAAAATGGGTTCATCTCCCACCGGTAGCACACCATTTTACTCTTCCACCATTTTTGGTAGAAATATTGTGTTTTTTAGTCTCCAATGGATTTCACCAAAATTTAGACCAAATATTAAAATAATAATATTTCACCATTTCACCACTTATAGGAAATGGGATTTAGTTTAGTCTCCATGGCATTTCACCGTATATACCCCAAAACTATAAATCTAATGTTAATCGTAATTTTATAATATTTTATTTCCTCAATATTAATTATAGATCCAATGCTAAGTAATAAACTTTCTTAACTATATAATTTAAAAATTATGTTAACAATTTTAAAAAACTGTCTAAACATGAAATAACATGAACTCAAATTATTTTAAATACAATAAAATCATACATAAACAATAATCTCATAAATTATTGCATAAATCATATATTAAAGTATGTCCATGTTTAAATTAGAAGTTCATTGATGATTTAACTTTAATAATTGTGTATTGTTTATCATGTTTTGTTATCATGTTATGTTGTTTGTTATTTTATGAGCTATGTATTTCAATTTAAATGTCCCCTCCTGTATTCATCAATTAAAGTGTGTTTCGTTAATCATTCTATTGTTGCTTATTATATTTTATTAATAGCAATTAGCGTATTAGTTAAGTAATGAAATGAACAAATAAACATTGATACTAACAAAATATACAAATTAATTAAAAATAATCATATTTATACTATTATAATTAATGTTTTGTTAATAATAACAAATGTATTTATATTTTAAAAACTAATTTAATAATTAATATCAACGTATTTACGATAAATATGCTAATAAGTTGGTAATCTGGTGCAATTAGTTAAAATCGTCATTTTATATGGTATTTAATAAAATAGTGTTAATTACGGCAAATCCTATTTTCACCTCTATATTTGATAGGAAAAATTGGATTTGGTGGAAAAAATAGGAAAATGGTGGACCGGTGGGAGATGAAAATTCCTTCACTAAAAAATTTGGTGGAAAAATAGGATTTGAGTATTTGGCGATATGGGGTTGACCACGATGGGAGGCTAAAACCAAATCTCTATAATTTTAGGTCTAATGGTGGTATAGGAATTTCGGGTAGGAGGCTAAAAACACCTAAATTAGATGAAAAAATGGCGTTATGGCGTCCGGTTGGAGACGCCCTCAGCATTAGTTAACTTCAATTAGTTGACAATCCATTTTTTTTTCTTTGATCATCTTTTTTCCGACGGCGGGTCGTCAGATGTTTGGTTAGCTGACTCAACATTAGTTAACTTCAATTAGTTGACAATCCATATTTTTCCCTTTTTTCTTTTATTTTTTTTCCTTGCGGCGGGTCGTCGGAGCTCTGATTAGCTGACTCATCATTAGCTAACTTCAACATTTGTTGACATTCCATTTTTTTTTTCCGCCCGGAGCTCCGATTTGTTAACTTGCATTAGCTGACTTAATATTAGTTAAAATCCATCAAGAACTCCAAAATTCAAGTCGCAAGACCCTCGGGAACATTTGTGAAGGCCAAATGAAGATCGTAGGAGGATTGAAATGGAAAACCCATCAAGCACTCCAAGTGGGGGAGAAGTCCTTCCCCTGTTAGGCACTAATCTGTTTTTAACGTCTAATTAGATCGGAAAATTATTCAAATTAAGAACATAAGCTTGTTGTTTTTTTTTTATATATATAATTAATTGAAGCCATAGGGCCTCGATCCATTTATTCATTTGACCCTACTTTATTTTGTTCCGTTCCAAGAACTCGAACAAGGTTTTGTACCGATCCGATAAGTATGAAATATCCTCAGAACTTTCCATCACTACAACAAAAATCACTTATTGGGACAGAGAAAAAATGCCCCTATATATACTCTATTGAGGCACTTACACATTTAGGGGCAAATAAAATAAATGTCGCGTAGTTGTGTGTCGCAATAGGTCATGCGACACTTATTATATGCCCCCAAAAGGAATTCTTTTGGAGACATTTATATATGTCCAAATAGAGTATTTTTGAGGCACAAATATATGCCACGTAAATGTCTCATTTATGTTGCAGCAAAAACGTGTTGGGACACTTCTTATACTGTAGAGACATTTAGGAATGTCTCTAAAAGATAATAATAGGATATTTATTATTGTCACGATATATAATTTTAGGGACATTTTTAATATCTTATAAAATTGTCTCTGGACACATTTTAAATTGATTTTTTTTAATTATTTATAAATATCCAAATAAATAATATATGATGTTCGAAATTCCTATTAAATATCCTAATTATGATTATTTTCATACCAGATCTTCAATCTACATGTATAATTTAAATCCTGTAAATATATAGAAATTGAGCATACATACAACAAAAAAAATTTAAATATCACAAAGTTTCAATGACATTCGATAAATAAATGCATAAATATTACTAATACTAATTCTCGAGAAAACAATCAATGTACAAGATCGAAAAATGATTCTTAGAGCATAAAACTCAGTATTTGAAGAAACCGTAAGTTCTCTAGTAAAAGTAGTGTGAGACCAGATCTCTAATAAAATTAATTGAGTACTCGGAACAAATTACGGACTCATAAATATATTATGATTCAACTTCATCGTACTCTTGCTTGCATCAACAATGAAATTCATCATCCAAAGCAACCTGCATATAAACAAATATACATCAACCGACAAGAACAACCTAAATTCTAACACAAAGATGTTTTTTCTTTGTTTCTTCAGCCCAGTTCAGCCATACAAAAATTAAAATAAAACCAGCAACCAACATAAAAATATTAGCATGTCATGGTTGAGTTGAATGGATAGAGTTCAGCTAGTCAACCTGACTTATGATTTTGTTTGTTTCCATACGATTTCAGTTGAATTAAAATTAGACATTAAACAAAAGAAGATAACAAGTTACAGAATGTACGTGGGAACAAAAATGAACATACCAATGATAAGGGCCAAGCAACTGGTACTCCAACAGCATCTCCAATTAGTTCAATATGATTATGAACGAAAACCAATCTCGCATCTTTCTTCACCGGATATTGAATGACAACTTGACAAAAGTCAGACCCCAAATCTATACCATTCACTCTAATATGGTCCATCTTGTCCACGATACCAGTTGCAACTATTTCATTTACATTTGCAAGACTTTTCAAAATAACATATGAACCACCCTGCGCACAAGATTTAATAGTTAGTGCATCAAATATATTTAACGATTATGTATGTCGTAATTAACAAGTTATCTATTTTATTTTGTTACCTTGATACACTTTGAAAGTGAACTTGTTCCAACTGAATGTTGCTCGTGTGGAACTGATAAGGAGGCACTTTGAGCACCAACTTGCTCACTTAAAATGCAGTTGGAACATAAACAGAATCATCTTGTTCAGTCGGAGTTGTCATTGAAGTATTTTGAGGATCGGTTTGCTCATTTGGAAAGCTTTCATCTTCAAGTTGTCCACCCAATTGAGTTATATGAACATTTGCTGATAACGTGTCATATTTTTTCATTGCTTCCAAATACTTCGTTTTGTACTCCATGGCCTGTCTAAGAAGTGTAGCACGACTAGGTTTCCCCCCATAAATATCAGTTGGTGTCACTCCTAACCCATACATGCGCACATGTCCATCCTTATCTTTACCCATTACTTTTGCAAATAAATCATCATGGCTATATTGAAGATCCTGGTTGCTATCTAGGCTGTTGTCTAAGTCTTGAGAATACAAAGGAGCTAGTTCTTTCATTTTCCCCTAAAACAAAGTAAGCCATGTACATATGAAAACAACATAGCAACCCAATCAAGACAACTGGCATTTAAACATTGTCGTAATATTACTTAAAAATTAAAATATATATAAACTTACAACTGCATCTTTGACTGCCCGACTTGTAGATGAACTCTCTGGCTTATAATAACATTCTTCAAATAATTCAGCTCGTGTGGGATACCTTCCGAATCGTTCTCTCTGTTTACAAATTAGTAATCGCATTTAAAACTTATAAACCAAAAACATTAAATTAACATTAATTAGTCATAGAGAATATTACCAGTTTTTCTTTCACCACAGCAAAACTTTTCTTCCCCATGCAATGATGCATAATTAGTTGATCACGGCTATCTTTATTCTTGTCACATCGTTTCTAATGTAGTGAGAGTTTTAAGTATGTGAGCAAATCGAAGAAGATAATAATAATAATAATAATAATAATAATAATAATAATAATAATAATAATAATAATAATAATAATAATAATAATAATAATAATAATAATAATAATAATAATAATAATAATAATAATAATTACTTATTGTTTAAGACAAATAAGAGTACTATTTATGAATTATACTGATATGTTATTCATACCTTCGACTTTTCAGACATCCAGTGTTGAACTAGAGACTTATATTGATCTTCATTGACTCGATCTGGTATATCACCCATTTGCTGATCAATAGGGATTTTTGGATCAAAATTTAAACTCTTTATAAAACACTTCCAATTTCTCCACTTCTTGTTTATGGACCTTAAAATGTAAGTTTCATGTCCTGGTGGTAATTCAAATCTTGCCTACACATATAAAATATGAACACCAAGAAAACATACATTATCGTTAATTTAAAAACTAATTCGTTACCTTCAACAAAATTATGAGTATTTGAAAAATTAATTCATTACCTTCACAATGCTAAGCATTTCTTCTTTATAAGAATACGGCATCAATCTCCAATCTTCATAGTTAAGAGGACAATATCTTCCATTCCTAGCAATTGTACCCAAAAAATGAGACAACGTGCTCGTCTTATCTTGATCCTTTGGTTGTCCGAGTTCGTTGAATGAAACATGCACAAGTTCGTCTGATTGTTGTCCCCAAACTTTAGGCATACAAGTAGCTCCTCTCACCCTTTTTTTTTTATTTCCAACTACATTAATTTTAAAAAATGTATCAATTATAAGTACAAAACACAGAAAAACTACACAGTAGATTGTTATGCATAAACTTTCTGACCGTTATTAGCTGTATTCTCAACAATATCGGCCACATTCTCAGTAGAATCAAATGCATTTGCAGAAGTTGCTGATTTAGATTGACTTGAACTGTTCCCAAGTTGGCCTGAAATTTAAACTAAAGAAATTAATGCAAAAACAATATGATAGTAAAAAATAAAAGGTAAAAATATAGAGATATCATTGAGTCAATTTTGTGATTACGAAGTTGCTCAGGTTGCGATGTTGCTGCTTTGGGTTGATTCGTACTCGTACCAAGCTGGACTGCAAGTTCAAATAAAAAATAAAGAAGATGCTCTTTTGCTGTGTATAACCCAATGCGTATAACCTTTAATAAATCCATCAACAAGAAGATGCTCTTTTGCTGTCTCTCTATTTGTCCATTTTGCGTTTTTACAGTATTTGCACGGACATATAATCTTTCCATTGAGAGATACTTGAGCAAAAGCCATGTCTAGGAATTGATTTAATCCATTTCTATATTCTTTTGTTGACCTTGGTTTATGCAACCAACTCTTATCCATTATAATCCTACTAAAATAATCATTCACAAATTATTTATAATTACATATATAATAAGACAACATGTAAGCAAAAAAAAATATATGAATTATGAATCAGTACTACCCTTATGAATGAATACTCATTCACAAGTATCAACTACTTATTCACAACTAAAAAGATAGCACTCAGATAATGAATCTCAAGAAAGAAGTAGAAAACATGAACCATTTGAACAATGAAAAGAGCTAAAACAGCCGAAGGATCATCAGAATAACGAACATGCAATTCACAGTTCTATATAGAACAGAGCAATAACCAAAATACAATAAATAATATTGTTTAAGTTTTTGAATAAAAAAAGCTATTGATAAGGACAAAACACTTTCTTTAGAATGACTTTTAAATACTCCAATTTGGCTTGGAGAATTTTCCTCGGACCTGGCATACCAAATTTCTATTTGAAGTGGTGCTCTACGGTTAAATTACACGAAGCCATTTTAATCCTTTGTTTTTTCTGTCCGAACTCCGAAGTAGCATTCCATTGTTGAATTTGTTAGATCATATTTTAAAGCTCTAATTTCTTAGGCTCTATATCTTAATTGGAAACAATATGCAGATATGGAGTAATATCAATTGCATGGCATGGACTGGGTGCTAATAGGATAAAAATACAAGGGTCAAAAAGATATTTATGGTTTTCTGTTACGAATTGGATGGCAGCTACCACTTCATAACCAATGGGGGTTACATGCTTATTTTCAAACTATAAAGGGGTTCTGTGCCAAATAGGCTAACCACAAGGGGGTTAAGTGCTATTTACCATGAAAAAACGAGGTATACAAAAATTACTAACTATAAGATCAAAATTCTTCTAGAAGTACAATAAGTAACGTGTTTGTGCAATTGTAACAGAAAAAATGAGATATTATGCAACTAGAAAAATCCATTTGTTAAAAGAATTTTTTTGAAGCAATTCTATATTAAAAATAAACTATATTGATCATGGATTATATCCTTAAACTAGTATTTTTGTTCCACAATTCCACTATCCCCTTTTCAAACAAGGACAAAGGTTGGTCACAGAATCAATTGCTAGCATGCTCACTAAACATAAGGCCGATTCACCATCTAATTTCAATTTTGCAATTATTTCCCTTTGCCTATTTTTATCAAACAGTAGGTGTGCAGAACACAATTTTCATCTACCCAACTAAACTTATATGCATATCCTCCCAAACTTCCTCTTTCGATTTGGCTATATTTTTCAAAATTTCAATGAATTTCCAGAGAAAAAAAAAAGAAAAAAAAACTCTACAGTGGTTAATCTAAAATCTCTAAAACTCCAACTTTAGTAGACCCATAGTTTCAAGAATTGACCCATAACAAATAGATTATTCAAACGGATATATGAAGTTATATTCATTATCTATATGATTTTTTCGGCAATCAATTTATACATGCATAAATATTGAGTTAAAAAAATCTACAAACTACCTAGGGCCTGGAGTTTAATTACTGGGATTAAAATAAATCACAAGGATGGATGGGTTCTTTAGTTTCAATCACTTACCGTAGAGAAACAGGAATTGACAAGCTGGATTCCTTCGAACGCGCCCCTCTTCTCCTTCTCGTTGTTGCAGAAAAAAAATTGCGATGATGCAGCTCTTCTCTCCCTGGCGTTTTTTGAAGAAAGAAGTCTATTAGGTTTTCTCGTATAATTGAAGTGGCGTTAATTTGGGGAATTATTAATTGGGCCCACGAAAATAAGAAAACCGCCAATCTAAAATTTTCGCGCTTCGTGGATTAGTGTCCCTTTAGGTTGTAAAAATAAGTGAAAATTTTAAGTGCCCTTATAATTTATGCTTGAGGCATTTATCAAAATATGCCTCTAAATTATAAACGCCCCTATAGGTCTTAAAAATAAAATAAATCAATCAAATGTCCCAATAAATTAAAATTGAGGCATTTATAAAAAAATGTCTCCAAATAAATGTCGCAATATTTATATTTTGTTGTAGTGCATTGATACGACATCCTCTTTTTTCCATTTATTCCTTTGTAGGATCAGTCGCATCATGATTTATCCATAGATTCTCATAAATGCCCAAAAGAAAGGAACTTTATTTAAAATGAATTATTTATATAGATAAAAGTGAGGCTTTTAGTTTACTATCCTAATAATGTGCACATAAATACCATGCGTATATTTATATAGGGATAATTAGTGAGAACCCCCAACTCATTGACTTATATTAAAGTGGATATAAGGGATTTTCGATCTTTCTTTACGGAGGCAGCATCTTCATCCTCAGCTTCTTTCTCGACAGGTTCCCAAGCATCATAAGCTCCAAGCAACGCCTTCATTCGGATGCACCAAATTCCATAATTTTCTTTCGTGAATTTTGGAACTTGAAATGGAATTCCGTTTGACATTATTTTCTTCAAACTTACGTCTCTCCAAACACAAGTTGGCTCTTGATACCACTTTGTTAGAAAAATTGAGAGCACACTCACTCAACACTCACACGAGAAGTGGAGGAGAATATATGAATTCTATTAAACTTGAAAACTTGACTTGTTCCAAATGGCTAGAGTTCATGCGGTATTTATAGGATTTTCCCAACATGAATCTAGCCTAGTACATGCATTACTATTTAGTATTTAATTTAATTAGTCCCCTCTGACTAATACATGAATTTTAATTAAAACCAAATACACGAATAAGCTAATACATGACTCATTCTAATACATTATTAACCTTCTAGAATATTCCTTAATACACACTTAATCTAGTTTATTATTTCAACGTTAAGAAGAAGAGATATTTCTATGATTTTTCTACACAATGGAGGACGGGTGCGAGAAAAGAACCATTTTAGAGTTGTTCGGGACATATATATTTACAGTTACTCGTGTCTTTTATTACGGTTTGCTTCTCGACCGCCACCTAGGAACCTGCTAACAGATTACGGCTATGACTCTGCTTGATTCTTCGGCGGTTTCTCAACATCAGCTGCTCTATGCATCGAGTCGAAATTTACCAAAACGCCCACTTTCTTCGACAAGCATTTCTACTCTTTCATTTAGTGCTTCAATCCTTCCCATATTCTCCTCTAATCCTCGAGACTTCACTTCATTCTCCAATTCAAGAAATCTAGTTTCGACTATATTTACCTCCACCAACCAATTCCTAACTCTAACAGAACCGATCAAATCTCCGTGATCCGTCCCGATTGATGAAAGTGCATCCCAATTACCGGAATCAAGTGGAGAAGATTCCACTCGATTACAATCTTCGTTTGCTTCCTGTTTGATTAGGGTTTTGTCAGATCTTATCACCGCGCTCTGCTTCCAGATAACGAAAGAATCCTCCTTCGTGGCGGCAGCCACCATGACGAGGGAAGAATCATCCTCTTGTGCGGCGGCAGCGTCCATAATGATCTGATGGGATGACTCGGAATTGAGAAAGTCTTTGCACGAGTGTTGACCACGATATGTCGTCCTAAACAGAGGTGGATCGTCTTCGATCCTTTGCACGTGTTTCAATGCTCGGCATCCTTGAGAACCCTTATGTTTGCAACTGTAGTGGTGCCTGCATGCATTTCCATTCTTCATTAGCATTTGCACATAAATTAACAAAAGCAAGCTCTTATATATACATATACACACACACACACACACCGGGTTTATTGCATTTAGTACCTGTGTCGTATCAAATTGCTAAAATTCCCCCAATAATGCAACTTTTTAGCACACTACGCCCTAAAACACACACAATTTTTGGGGGTCGTGTGCTAGTAAAAATATCATTAGAGTGTTTTTACTAATATTTATGACACGAGGGTTTTTTTAGCAATTTGATATATCACAAGGGTACTAAATGCAATAAACTACATAGGAATAATTTAGTAGTGTACCTGGGGTAACTGGCATTTAAGACTCTGTATTGTCCATATTTCCTCCACGGATGACCGTCATCAAACAATGCGCAAGTGTAGATTTGTTGGTATATTTTCCTTTTACCCCTTGCATTATTAATTAATCCTTCTCGGATAACAGAGGCTTTAGCTCTCAACGACTCCACATTTTGTTGCAGAAAATCGAGCGTGGACTTGAATTCGTTTATCGGCTGCTGATTCTCTAAATTGAAGAAAAAAGAGTCTTCAATTTCAGGAAAAGGTTGCAGCATGTCCAGTGTAGTAGTGTTGGAGTCGTGTGCATCGTAATCTGACAACTGCTCCCTTGGCTCGGACGAAGAGGATTCCATACTTGGCTTGTGCAGTATTTTAATGCCTAAAACTAATGGAAATAAATAACAAGAAACAAGCAACTCTAGTTCTAAAGAAAGAGTTGAGATTGCTGAGACTCAGTGTACAATTCGATAGAATTAGTTCTTATTGTTTTGAATCGTACGCATCTACGGAATATGATAGAAGATCATATTGATTTGGAGATTTTGTGTCAAAAGAATCCCTCTCAATCATTTTCATTTTCTTCCTATCCCTAAAATCAATAAATCTTTGTTAAACTTTTCAAAAACAAATTCTCAAAACAATTCCCAAATTTGCATCTTCTTCACACATGATTAGTTGACAGGTATTTTCACTACACACAAACAACATGGTTTGGATGCTACAGTGTTTTCAACCCCAAAACACTTCCAAACATTACCTAATTGTTTCAATCGCGGAAAATATGAAGTTGCGGATCATTTTGAATGCGAACTTAATATTTTATTGAATATTATAATTCAAGCTAAAGGAAATACAATCGACACGTAGATCTATTTTCTCTATATATTTTTACCGATTTTTCAAACTAATTTATAATTGAAGTCTCTCAGAAGTTCTTACATCCAAATCACTTCTACAAATGTAAAATTTGTCATCCAAACACAACCTCATTACACCCCTTCTTGCACAAAGAGTATCCCTCTTTCATGTATTCTCAATCTTAATCATGTGCCCTCATTTCAACAATGTCATATATATATATATGTACTGGGTAAACTCAGCAAACTAATTTCCGTATACTTACAAAAAAAAAAAAGCAAAATTGCATAAGGGAAAAGAAGTGCAGAAATTAGAGAACATGTGAGCAAAGATGGAAGAAGGAATTGACTAACCTGAATTATCCATTGTAGTTGTTGGATGATGATGAAGAGGTAAAACACAGAATGAAATTTTTGGTTCTGAATTTCTGTAGATAAATTGATTTTTAATGTCAAAAGTATACGTTGACTAAATCTGTGCACACTACGTTATTACTTATTACAATTAAACCATCAAGAGGCAGGATGCTACTTCGAAACTCACCAACGAATACTAATTATAATTTATTATAATTTATAGGATAAATTACCGTGCCTATGAGATAAGGTCAAGTTACGAAAAAGCCTCTTATGTTTGAGTAATTACAATCACCCGTAAACTATTAATTGTTTACACGTTAACCCATATGGTGTCAAATTTAGTGGAATCTTCTATAGATTATGTGGACTATTCTCCAGTTTGTACCTGTTTTACCTCATTCGACCTTATGTTTGGGTAATTACAATCACCCGTAAACTATAAATTATTTACACATTAACCCATATGGTGATAAATTTAGTGGAATCTTTTATAGATTATGTGGGATATTCTCCAGTTTGTACCCGTTTTACCCCATTCGAGCTCCACATTTTGAAACAATATGATTTTAAGATGTGTCTATTGGCTTGTAAATATCAGAATGTCGTGCTTTAAGAACTGCATTTTTGCACAAAATGAGTACAAACTAGAGAAGATTCTGTTGAATTTGATACCATAAGGATGAACGTGTGAGAAGATTCATAGTTCAAGGGGTTGGTTGTAATTACCCAAACATGAGGAAGATTTTCGTAATTTGACATTATCTCAAGGGTGACCAACTGGCCGTAATTTACCATAACTTATATACTAATAATAATATTGTTAAATGTATATTGCACCTTTTGTATAATACAAGTACAGTACATATATTTGATCTTTTCCCCATTACCAGAAAAACCAACACACCAAGTAATTTACAGTACCATTACGAAAACACTAATTGCTTGTTAGACATACTAAGGGAAAGTAGATGTTACACTAGGTAGATTTGAACCGTAGATCTACACATAATTACACACACATCCATGTATATGCGTGTTCAATGAGTAGTTATTTAATCAAATCTACGGTACAAATCCACCCGGTATAAATAACCAGGTGAAGCATCTATCTCGCTGCCATACTAATATTAAATAGGGGCAATTTGCTATGGGTCCTCATCTAAGAGATTTTATGTCTATAAATCCAACTAATAAAACTCAATTTTTAGTAAATTTATTATTTTTAATATGTCAAAAATATCCCTAACAATTTATGGAAATAAAAATCTCCAAAATAAATATCCCATATTTTTCTCCTTGCAGTTAATTAACCCATTCCAAAATTTCACGTATTATCAATCTCAAATTCCACCATACCCAAGAATCCATCAAATTTCACCGCTCAAAAACATCGATTTCATCAATATCTAACCCAACTAAAAATCGCATTGAGTCTGCCGTTTGCAATCCACAAAATTTCGTTTGTTGTCTACGTTGTGAAATCAGTTTTTTTTTTTTTTTTCTCGTTTGCTATTTGGAGATCGTTTGTTGTTTGAAAACATCGTCTGTTGTTTCTTCATCTGTTGTTTGTGATTTCTACAATGGCTCAAACACAATTTCGTCTCGGTAAGCAATACTCCTATTAACTACATGTACATAGCATTGTTCGATTTTTTCAATACTTATTCAAAAACCCGTTTTTTTTTTTGAGACAGCGAGCGAACGAGGATGATGAATTCGAATCCCCGAGAAATTAGATATAAATTGCAGGGTTTGTTGAAGTTAGTAGTCTAGTTATTTTTTTTTAATTGCAGTTTGCACTTTGCGATTCTCTATTATAATTGAAGTTGTTATTGGTTGTTTGCAGTTCATGTTTGGTCTTAATTGGAGTTCGTATTAGTTGTTTGCAGTTCATGTCTACATTTGTAAGATGAATTGTTGTTTTCATCTCCAATTAATAATTGCTATTAATTTCTTTTAAATTTTACTTAAGCAGTTTTTATTAAGCTACTTTTTTTTACACTTTGAAGCATGTATGTTGCAAAAGACATTTATTTGCAATTTTAGTTTTCACTTTGAAACTATTTTGTAATGTAATGCTTGTTGTATGTTGACGTTCTTGAGTTGCGAATTATGTTGCTAGCAATTAGGTTTACATTGTACTATAATCCTCATAAATTGGACTTTAGATTAGTTTTTCTCTTTTTACACATGTTTGCAATCAATTTTCTATTTGCATTTTTCAGATTATTTTGCAAATCTTGTTTGAACTTGCGTATGTTGTTTGTTGTTTGCAATCACAATTCTTTTTTGCTATTTTCCTTAACTTTGCAATTAGTAAGTCATGGTTAAAGTTTGCAATTTATTTTTTGTAGGTTGAAGATTGTACATTATATCCTGCTGTGAGAGTGTTTCAACCAATACATGTCTGGGTAAAAAAGAAAGAAGACAATTTTCGGTTAATGCCGCTGACATGAAAAAATTCCTCGATAGTGCCAGTGGTTAAAAATTATTGTTTAATGCTTTACATTTATTTTTCGCTTTGAAGTTTAATTTATTGTTTGCATCAAGATTTATTGTGAAAATATTACACTTTTTAGAGTTTTGTTGCACATCCTGTAATATTGTTATAATTTATTTTTTCTATTTCAAATAGAAATTTGTATTTTTTATTTTTTATTGCAAACATATTTTGTTGTTTTACATAACTTTTGTAGTTTACAGTTTACAGTTTGCACTTCATTCTTTATCATTTTTCGTGTACAATTTGCCTTCACTGTTTGTATTTGCAGTTTGTAATTAGTGGTTGTTAATGTTAGCAACTATTACATTTGTTGTTTTGTATCGTTGCAATTTTCTATTTTATGTTGCAAATTTATTATGTTATTCAAATTTTTTATTTTGTTGTTTGTTCAAGTATAACTAATTAGAAAATGCAAACAAAAAAATGCAATATTGTCGAGAACATACAAAATAACAATTAAAATCCAACACATATGATCTAAAAAAATTAATAATTGAAAGATTGCTAAATATTTTTATAAAGTAATAAATAATTAATTTTCAAATTTAGTTGCTTTGAGAGAGAGGGGGTGAAATACGTGTGTGTGTGTGTGAGAGAGAGAAGGGATGAGAGAGAGAGAGATGCGTATAGGTGTGATGGGATGGGAGAGATGTTTGACCATGTAGAAAGGAGAGAGAGTGAGAGATTTGTGGGATTTGTTCCCTTAATTTCTAAAATAACTATTTACATATAAATATCTGAAATGATTTGTGCAGGCCAAAATTAAACATTCAGGCACATTTTTTACCATTTTTCAAAAAACAAAAAGTAAAAAAACTCAAAACTCTCTCAACCTTTCGATTTTCTTTCGCAAAGCCCGTGCAAATCGTCAACAGATCGGAGGTAATTTTAACGTTTTTACGATCCTCTTGTTATGTAGATTACGAATCCGGAAAAAAAAAACGAAAAAAATCACACGTTGGCCTGCTCGTGTGAATTTACACGAGCGCCTCCACTGTGCTCGTGTAAATCCACACGAGCAGGCATTTTTATTATTTTTTTTTATTTTTTTTAATTGCTCGTGTAAAAACACACGAGTGGTTGCAAAGTGCTCGTGTGAAATCACACGAGCAGTTTGCAACCGCTCGTGTGTTTTTACACGAGCAGATTATTATTAGTTTTTTTTTTTTTTTTTTTTGATTTATAAGATGCTCGTGCAAAAACATGCGAGCATTTCAACAGTGCTCGTGTGAAATCAGATGAGCACTGTTGAAATGCTCGTGTGTTTTTGCACGAGCACAAAAATTTAATTTTTTTTTTTTTTTTTTTTTATTTTTAATTGGGTAGGAATAGTACAAAAGGTAAATAGTTATGGTAAAAAGGTAAAAAATCATGGTAAAAAAGTGCCTGAATGTTTAATTTGGCCTGCGTATATCACCACCCTATAAATATTAATTGAGGGCATCTATGTCTATACACTAATAATTTAATTTAATTTAATTGATTAAGGACCTACACCTATATTCATCTAATAGGTTGGATCTCCACCTATATAAGTCTAGAATAATGGGTGTCTAGCCAATTTCCCCTATTAAATATTGGATCCTGTGTTTAAGTGAACCTTGATGTAGTTACATTATTAACATCAGTTAGGCAAATCCAACAGAAAAACTGATGAAAAACATTCATACATACCCAAATACCATCCAAGGAAGGCTATAACCAAATGCTCCAAGGAAACTTAACAAAAAGTTGAAAGCATAATAAATAAGAAGATAGTCCAAATAAAATAAGCTGTTTTCACTCCACTGCAGCTTTTTCACTAACTTAAACACTCAAATTAACTACGATCCATTAAAAGATGGAGCTTCTTCGTTTATCCCCTCCTATCGGCATAACTATCATTGTCAGCAACACCTGAATTCTGACCTTCACCACCATACCCAAAGCTCCCACCACCACCGCTTTCTCCACCTGCAGCAGGATACGAATCAGTCGCAGCTTCGTTTCCATAACCACCGCCGCCACCACCATAACCGCCACCACCACTGTAACCGCCACCGCCACCACTGTAACCGCCGCCACCACCACTGTAACCGCCACCGCCACCACTGTAACCACCGCCGCCACCACTGTAACCACCGCCGCCACCATAACCGCCGCCGCCACGTGCCCTTTCATTTGCAAAATTCACTCTTACCATACGACCATGAAGATCCTGAAGCAATGTTGGAAATGGCAAAATAATTAACATCTAAAATACAGTAACGAAAGAAAAAAGAAAAATAAAATTTACGGCCAAAACAAAGATAACGACACCTGTTGATCCAAAGCTTGGATGGCAGCAGATGCCTCCTCAGTCGAAGAAAACGTAACGAAGCCAAAGCCCCTTGATCTACCAGTTTCACGATCAACAATCACCCTCGCTGAAATTAATATAACATTTAGCGACCTTTTATAAAATTAATCGTCCAAGGGGCCAAAAAAGAACAACGAGCAGGAAAATCACACACTCAAAACACATACAAAATGTTAATCTCCAACACAACAAGTTGACTATGCTTCAAAACCCAAAATAAAAACTAAGTCGAAACAACTAAAATATGTGCAAAAATAATTGTTATATTACCTTCAGCAACTTCTCCGTATTTATCGAAAGCCTCTCTAAGGCTAGTGTCATCCGTGCTGTACGAAAGTCCTGCAATATCAAACGAGACGTTACACAAAGTTCGATGCAACAAAAGAAAACTAAACTTACAAAATGGATACACACTAAAAAAAGATATAAGAAAGACAGCTGGTATTATTAAACCTCCGATGAAGAGTTTTGATGTCGACATGCATCTTATTGCTTGTAAGAACGACGGCTTGGACAACGAGATTTCCGAATTGATGATGTTAGTGCTTGCGATTCTTCCCAATATACTCCCAGCTTTTCTAAGGAAAGCCATTGCTCTGACCTGCAACAGCGATAACGAACTTATAAAGATCGAAACAAGCGACGCAAGAAATCAACTTCAGACATTTAAAAGAAAAAATGCCAAAGAAACCCATAGCTTCTTAAAAGCCCATCACTTCACAAAACTATTTAAAATCATAATCACACAATAATCACTCATTTAAATTTACAGAATAATTTTTAAAGGCACAGAATCATACAAGATCTATACATATTGCAAAAGATCTAAAAACAAAAGCCAAAAAGTAAACATTTGGTTCTATAAACACTTGCTAATTGCAAACAAACCACTACAGAAAGAGCACAAGAACAAATAACAGAAAACATTAACTCGGTTTCCAACTCATTTCCTTAGCTAGGAACTCAGTAAATCCCAGAAACTCAGATTTACACCAAATTCGAAACCCAGTTCAAATCCAAAAATCAAATCAGAAAATGATACTACAATAAACGAAGAAACGATAAATCTGATGCATAAACGAAGGGTGTTAGTGAAACATTTTCTACCTTTTGATGGGTTTCTGTTGTGGTTGTGTAGGCTCGTTCAAAGACAGAAGAGTGCTGTAAAACCCTAGAAGTCAGAAAATCGGAAGGGTTTTAGAGAGAGATCGAAAATGGGGAGCTTTAAATAGAAAGAGTTTGGATGGGCTCAGCCGTCCGTTTGTTTCAGATCGAGTGACTTCAACCGTTGGATGGATAGCCTTTTGGTGGTAGAGATATCTATTATGTGATGCGACTTTGTTTTAGGTTAAAAAAGTAAAATGTATAAAACTCTCATTTCTACAAGTGACGAATAGGGGTAAAATTGGTGTTTCACTCTTTTTCAGTTGTGGAGGTAATATTTTTTATTTCCGAATTGCTTTTTTTTTTTTTTTTTTTTCATCAAATTAGAATAAATATGATTCGAATTTTCGATTCGATTTTAATTATTAGAAATACTTTTGAAATTCTGTCTTTTTCTCAAGTAGTACATTATAATGTCAATATCATTATATATTTTATATTATAGGTGAATAAAAATGGTTTGTTATTAGGGGCATTGCTATAGATCCCTCTGTATTAGATTTTATTTGAATAAATTCAAGTCAAAATTTCTATTTTTAATAAATTAATTGTAGTTATTATAACAAACTAAATATAATTATACGTCTCTGTAACAACAAATTCTTATCTGCGATATAAACAAACAAGAAAAATTGAACAAAGATGATTTTATTTGAATTAAAATAAATAAATTGCGGGTTACAATCTCTATTTTAATCCTCTGATTCATCTCTCTAGAACAATATATGGTTGACTTGAATTTTCGGAGTCGAGTCGTTGAATTGATCTTCTCCGGATTTGATTTTGGATTTGAATAACGTTTTCCAAGGGTCTTGCGACTTGAATCTCGGATCGAACGTTGAACTTTGACTAAATTTGACTTGAAGATCTTGAAATTCTTGATGGATTTGGCCCTTCAATCTTCCAATGATCTTGACTTGAATTGATTAACGTTAATCCGAAGGTTTGGCACCGTTATCTCGGATCGAACGCTGGATTTGATGAAGAATGCCTTGAATTTGCTCAAGAACACCTCGAATTTGACGAAGAACACTTTGAATGTAGAGAGAGAATCTTACCTCCTACGAATTCTTCTTCCTTGCGTCTTGAATTGTAGAGAGAACTTTTGCTCCTACGGTTTCTGCTCCTTCAGTTGTGTTTGAATTATGAAGGGAGGATCCCTATTTATAGTGGTAGAATAAGAGTCCTTGATGGGCCTTACTGATGATGTGGCGCGATTTGATTGGCCCGATTTAAATTGATACTTATCTCTTGTAACTTGGAAGAGAAGAAACAATTCTATTGGTCAATAATTAATTGATATTTATCCCTTATAATTTGGAAGAGAATAAATAATTCTACTGGTAAATATATATTTAAAATCAATTATCTATTTAATTTAGGAATTAATTTAACTAGTATTCACCCGTGCGATGCACGTGGTGGCATACTTTCAACTGGAAATACATGTCTGAAAAATAAATTTACGCATATATAAATTATTACGCTCATTGAATTTAAATACAAAACGCGACCAGCAATATTGAAGCATCATGTTCTTCATAGTTACATCATAAGAATAATATTAAATATTAGTATATCATCAAAATTAAATCTTAAAAGATAATAAAATTTGCAATGAGCATCCTAGGGACATGACTGAAAATAACATCGCACGGGGGAAATTATATAGAGAAGAAACACCTGCCAAAGAATAAGTTGTTAAAAAAAAAGACATGTTACATGAATAATTGGTAAATATGAAAATATTATCTACCTTCAAATTCGATGAAATACTTCCTTGTACACGACATTTCTAGTAACATTGGTGAGTTCACCCGAGTCCAACTTGATGAATATTTTAATGCCACCTCTGCTCGTAACTCTGGACAGTGCAACATATAGTTGATCATGGCTGAAGACATGCTTAGGAAGATACAAACCAACATGCGAAAGAGTTTGAAACTTGGCTTTTATTGATTGTCATTGCAAAAGAAACAATCAACGGAAACTGTCTTTTCTGAAATTTAATTGGCAGTCCGGTAGATGGTATTAAAGTCATCCGAGGAATGAACACCATGTCACCGATATTTTTTCCGGAAAGAATTTTGCAACTCAGAACGTGAATGCCAGTTCTAATAATTTGAAGTTTGGTCCCGTTACACAATCCTTTAGCTTGATCGATGTTTCTTATTAGCATAACGGGTGCACCAATCTTGAACTTCAACGCATGAGAACGAAGTCCGGAGCATCTTATTGTGTTGAGGAATTCAGTCGAATAAATTTCTGCATTATCCTCCATTGTTTGCTCGTCCCTAAACATACTATCTGAGCTCAGGTACACCTTCTCCTCTCCTAGAAGGAGAGACATTAAGTGATCGTTCACAAACTCGACGCATTCATTAGTTGGTGCAAGAATTGCTCTCCCTTGAAAATAATCTGAATCATACATGTTACTCAACAATCCGGGTAAACGAATTCCAGTAGGTCTCTGAATAGATCTTCTGAATCACCAATCAACATGTCATCGGGAATCACTATCGAAGCTTCACCATGATTTTGTTCCCCAACATCCTCACTACCAACCTTCAGTATCCAGTCTCCAAATTATTTTACCTCATCCACGTTAGATGGAGAAGAGCATGACTGCAATCTCATGTTCTTAGTCAACTTCATGACACGACAGAAATTCCACAGCGGAGAGGAGTTTATCGTAGCATGTACTATGTCCTGCCTTGATGCTTTGAGCACAACTGGTAAAATCTGTCTAAAATCTCTTCTAAGAACAACCACCTTACCACCAAAGAGTTTGTCAACCTGTAATATTGACTTCATTGTCTTGTCAAGCGCTTCAAAACAGTATCTATGCATCATAGGAGCCTCGTCCCATATAATAAGCTTTGCCCTTATGAACAACTCCGCCTGTGGACTTTTTTGCAATATGCTACAGGTGGAACTCTCGTGTACATTTATGGGTAGTCCGAATCAAGAATGAGCTGTTCTTCCACCGGGGAGCAATAATGATGCTATACCACTCTATGCAACGTTAATTACAATCTCTCCCTTGGAACGAACTGCAGCCGAAAGAGTTTACCATAGAAACGTCTTTCCCGTTTCACCATGGCCATATAGAAAGAACATTCCACCACGGTCATTGGATACAACATCCATGACTACATCATAAATCTTTGTTTGCACGTATGTAATTCAAGCAAGACACCGTTGAAGTTCCCTACCCATTTCAAACCGGTCGTAATCCAGTTCATCTAACACCAATATGTTTACTGTGTCATCCGCTGAGAATTCGATTGGAACTGGCATGGGCGCGTAATTTCGCAAGCTTTTACCATTGCTTTGCAATATTTTTTCTATTTCGGTGAGAGACGACAATATTAAAAAGATGAGTAATATTTAAAATCTAATTGAATAATGTGTTATACAATTTGCCATATCTGGATTATTATGAAGACTTTGTTGTTTGTAAGCAATACCCTCAGCCAAATCCAACCAACAACTTTGTCAAACATGTTCGGGCCGACTTAAGCTATTGGAAAGAAGCATAAGTACAAATAACCTTCTTATATAATCCCTCGGTGCCCAAGCATTCACTTATATTATTGAATATATGTATTCTTTGTCGTTATCTAATAAACCCAACACATAACATGCATCCCTGAACGTAGGGTAGACGGTGTCAAAAACTTTTCTAATGTCCTCGTAGCACGTATATCCCCTCTGAATGTTAAGTAGCAATCTAAGGTATTAGTCTTTTCCTTTTCCAGGGGGAACATTCGCAAGCCTACCAATAGAAAATCTTTTTTTCCTTGGCGCCCAAGTTTGAGAATCCTCTTTTAACTCAAGTTCGCAAACCTCCACATTGCCTCACATGCCGAAAGATATCTGCAGCCGTAGTACATCTTTATCTCATCACAAATCTCAGCACCGCTATCTGTATTGCGTGTTTCAAAAAATACCGCCGTAACTCGGCCATGCCCCTTGTTTACGCATTTGAACATGTATTTGATTGATTTGTTCTGGTTGCATGACTCGATATTAATGTGAGATCGGTATTTACTCAACAATATACGATTGTACGGGACTACAAACTCATTGTCAAGAGTAGTCTTCTTCTTCGTAACTGTTCTGCCATCTTCCATTCTCCTGTACACAGTAAAACCATCTGCATCTGATTCAGTGCGCTGCACAAATGGCTTTGGAAATCGTTTCGTGCATACTCGATCCTTCATACAGGGAGATTTCAAATTCGCCTGACCGCACGGTCCATGTATCATATACTTCTCCACCAACTGGTACATCTTTCGGTCGTTTACTTTGTCAGGATTTTCAGCACATATGATCCAATCAATTTCTTCTGGGTTATTGGTCTTATCGTTATTATGAAACCACAATAAAATATGTGCATGCGGTAGACCTCGTTTCTGAAATTCAATTAAGCATACATCTGCATAGAAAATATAAACATATGGTATTAAAAAAATATGCATTAATTTAGTTAAGGAAGCAATAAGTAGTTAAACTCACACATGAGCAATTTTTTTTAATTTATATGAATGAAGTAAATGTATAATTATAAACTGAGATCTAATTAAATACTTACATGTTGTAATACGTCTGAATATACAACCTTTCTTGATTTCTGTCATCATACTATTGAGCTTCATCTTGAACACACGACAAAGAATGTCTGGCCGATCCTCCGGCCTGAGATTTGTATCTTTCAACACCCTTTGTATTTCTGGCCATTGAGGATTGCATGTGATGACAATGAAGAGGGTTGTAGATCCAATCCAGTTACATATTTGAAGAGCATCAACGAAGTTGTTAAACATATACCTTGGACCTGCGGTGAACGACCCTGGAATTATAATGCGTTGTCCAACTGATTTACCCTCAGTGTCTCCTTTAAAAATATTTTCTTCGATACCCTTGTACATGTCAACCGTAAGTTGATCTTGATTGAACCTTATGAAATTCAACCTCTGTGACTCTACCATCGAAAATCCATCAACACAGAACTGCTGAAATAACTTCTTGAAATGCAAAAGTAACAAATGTTATCAACGTCGTTTCTGGATTAGATATGCAAAGAACTCTCGCATGCTTACATTCCTCCATTTTCTATTATCAGCAAGCGAAGATTCTCTCAAACATATATCGTCTCGATAATCATCTTCCCTGTAAGGAAATAAAAGAGGATACTGTAGAGGCAAGTAAAGAGGATGGAGCTCACTGATTCGTTGAAGCTTATTTGAGCGTGTCTCAGCTACAATATCCCTAAACGCATGTAACGAATTAATCCAATACAATGCAATTGACCTGCTATTTGTACAATGATA